TCAGTAGAGACCGTTCTTTACCATCCCTCCCCTTAACACTCCCACTTCTCTCTCACTGCCATAGCGTCTTCACAGCATGTGTGTCTATGTGGAATCGTGCTTGTTAGGGGATTGGTTTCTGGTTTATTAACCAGGGTCCTTCCCTCCCAAACAGTAAGCTCCTTCAAGTCAGACACCTTTAAAAAAAAAAGTTTTATTTTATATTGGGGTATAACTGATTAACAATGTGATATTCTCAGTTGGACAGCAAAGGGACTCAGTCACACACATACACGAACTACCCCCACACACCATCCAGGCTGCCACATAACATCGAGCAGAGTTCCCTGTGCTATACAGTAGGGCCTTGCTGGTTATCCACTTTAAATACAGCACTGTGTATGTCCATCCCAAACTCCCTAACTATCCCTTCAACCCATCCTTCTCCCCTGGCAACCATAAGTTCGTTCTCTCAGTCTGCGAGTCTGTTTCTGTTTTATAAATAACTTCACTTGGATCATTTCTTTTTAGAGTCTGCATATAAGGGACATCATGCAATATTTCAAGCTCTGGGAGATGGTGAAGGACAGGGAAGCCTGGCGTGCTGCAGTCCATGGAGTCGCAAAGAGTTGGACATGATAGAACGGCTGAATACCAACAACATGCAATGTTTCTCCTTCTCTGTTGAACTCAGAGATCTTGTCTATCATACTACTTGTCTTTTCAAACTCTAGAAGAGTGCCTAGCATTTAAAGACATTAAATAAGTACAGAGGAATGACTCCACAATCAAATGAGTTTCAAGTCACATTTCTCCCCTAAAACGCATCAAGTTAATCTGTCAAGCCCAACTCTGATTATTCCCTTCAGTGATCTCAACACCCCCCAGGGATGCAATTTCTTCTCAAACAAGTGTATGTCAAATGTGGTAAAGACATATAGCTCTTAATTAAAAAGCAATCCTAGTAAGTAAAGTAGTTACTGTGACAGCAAGGGTGATCTGGTTAAGACAAGGGTTGGGGGTCTGGAACTCCATCCATGTCCCCCCCTCCCCAATTCCACCCTAAGACACCTTTGGAGCCCCACCTGGGACAAACTGTGCAATTTTGATTTGAAAGAAGCTTCATATTTGTCAATGCTGGTAGGCATACTGTGGACTGATAAGGAGTTTCTATGGCCAAGTTTAGGAAATACATAATTTTTTTTCCAAATTGAAAAACACAGTGTTATTGATAATTGGATTACCTATCAGTTGACATAAACAGTATGAACTTAAAATTCAGACTTATATATGTGCCCATGGCATCATCAACACAATCAAGATAAAGAGTATATTCATCACCTCTAAGAGTTTCTTCTTGCTCCTTTGTAATGAATTCCTCTCCCCTCCTCCTGCCTAAGGAATACATAAGTGCTTTTAATAAACATGTATTAAGAGGTCCCTGGTAGCTCAGCTGGTAAAGAATCTGCCTGCAATGCAGGAGACCCTTGTTCGATTCCTGGGTCGGAAAGATCCCCTGGAGAAGGGATAGGCTACCCACTCCAGGATTGCTGGGCTTTCCTGGTGGCTCAGACAGTAAAGAATCCATCTGCAATGCAGGAGACCAGGGTTTGATCCCTGGGATGGGAAGATGCCCCGGGAGGAGGGCATGGCAACCCACCCCAGTATTCTTGCCTGGAGAACCCCATGGACAGAGGAGCCTGGCGGGCTGCAGTCCACGGGGTCACAAAGAGTTGGACATGACTAAGCACAGCACAACATGTTCCAGAAATTGTGCTGGTGTTGGGGATACAGTAGGGAAAAAAAACCAGGTACAATTCCCATACTCAAAGGCCTCATAATCTAGGGATTACAGAAAAGTCCTCTGGGTCAAGAAGTGGATCAGTTCAAAGATACAACTGGGAGTATCTGAATACACATTTTTGCCCAAGGTTGTTGAGCATGTCATGGATCTAGTGTTCCCAAAGCGTTTGTTCACAAACACTTGTCAAGACCAACTGCTATGAGCCTCATCAGAAAACAAACTCTATAGCACTGTCAGTTTTCAAAACATTACAACATTTTTTTAAATGTATATAATCCGAAATGATTCGACTAATCTGATCTCTGATGATGCATAAGGCATTTTGAGAACTCCTATGTCTTGGTTCATCCTCTGGACATGGGACATCCTTGTACTTTGACATGGGCATAGCCATTAAAAGTCTCTCCTATCTGGTTGGTCAATAACTAGAGAGTCCTGTTTTGCATTTACATCAGCATATAGCTCTGTCTTTAGAGTCACTTCTTATAGGAAAATGCACTTCTTAGACTGGAAATGCCTTTAGAGAGATTTCAGTCATAAAATATACACCCTCCCCACACACAAATCAGGCAGAAAAATCCAATCAAGAGAGAGCTCCACTTTCTCTCATCTCTGCCCGGGGACATAATTAGCTGCTTCTTCCCATATATTTGTAGAATCCTGTACCTTTAACTGTCTGAAGCACTTACCACAGTAGTTATTATTCATGACAACCAGGCAGGGGTCTGTATTTTATGCCAGGCACTTTGCAAGATATTTTCCATGTTTTACCGCTTATTTCCCCCAACTCATAGGTGGTAGATACTATCACCATTCTTGTTTTTAAAGATGAGAAAACTGGGGCTCAGAAAGGCTAAATAACTTGCCCAAAATACATGATGAATTCGAATAGATGGAAAACAAACATTTGAATCCAAGCTAATCTGATTCCCAAGTCCACACTCTCCCCTCAACATCTCCCTGTTCATGACTTAAGGGTCTACAGCCTACAGCTTAGATCTTCAGTTTCTTGAGTGATATCTTTGAGTTTCAAATATTAATAGCACCTAACACAGTTCATGATGCTGAAGCTGCAATACTCTGGCCACCTGATGTGAACAGATGACTCATTGGAAAAGACCCTGATGCTGGAAAAGATTAAAGGCAAAAGGAGAAGAGGGCGGCAGAGGATGAGACGGTTGGACAACATCACCAACTCAATGGACATGAACTTGGGCAAATGCCAGGAGATAGTGAGGAACAGGGAAGCCTGGCATGCTGCCATCCATGGGGCTGCAAAGAGTCAGACACGACTTAGCGACTGAACAACAACAACAGCACAGTTCATGGTGCCCTGTGGGCGCTCAGCACAGACTAATTGAATGAACTGTGAGAGGCAACATGGTACTAAGGAAGGAGATTTGGGTTACAAAGCAAGAAAATTGGATCTTTCTTCAGGCTGTGTAACTAACCCATGATGTGACCTTGAGCAAGTCCCTTCCTCCTTTCTGCACCTTTGTCTTCCCATCTGTAAAATGGGAGAATTGGAGAGATGATTTCCAATAATACCTTTCAGTCCAAGTGAGCTACAGTGCAAGCTGGTGTCACATTTTTTTTTTTTTATAAAAAGGAACGAAATTGTGCCATTTGCAGAGACATGAATGAATCTAGATGCTGTCATACAGAGTGGACTAAATCAGAAAGAGAAAACAAATATTGTGTATTAATGCATACATGTGGAATCTAGGGAAAAAATGGTACAGATGAATCTATTTGCAAAGCAGAAATAGAGACTTGGATGTAGAGAACAACGGGAGAAAAGAAGGTGGGAAGAAATGGGAATTTATGATTGAAATATATACACTACTATGTATAAACTAGATAACTAATGAGAACCTATCGTATAGCACAGGGAAATCTGCTCAACGCTCTGTGGTGACCTAAATAGGAAGGAAACCAAAAAAAGAGGGCATTTATGTATACATATACATATCACTTTGCTGTACAATGGAAACTAACACAAGGTTTTAAAGCAACTAAACAATAAAAGTAAATAAGTGGGAATTCCCAAGAGGATAGAGATAGTGTTGTCTATTTCCGACAATCTCAGCGCTTATCAGAGAGTCAAGCACAGAGTAGATGCTCAAATATCTCTTGCTGCATGAATGAATGGATACTGATACCCACTCAAAGCTCCGCTAAGAAATAACCTAGAAACACCTGAAAGTGAAAGTATCAGTTGCTCAGTCATGCCTGACTCTTTGGCAGTCTATGGACTGTAGGCTCTGTCCATGGAATTCTGCAGGCAAGAATACTGCAGTGGGTGGCCATTCCCTTCTCCAGGAGATCTTTCCCAACCAAGGATAGAACCCAGGTTTCCCACATTGCAGGCGAATTCTCTACCATCTGAGATGCCAGGGAAGCCAAACACACCCCAAATCCCACACCCCAAATCCCAGAAAGAAGTAAAAGCCATTTCCTTCTAAGGGAAGATACAGCCACTAGTGAACCGCAGCACTGACCCAAGCCTTCAAGAATGAGAGTGGCTGGAGGCCAGCCAACAGGGGCAGACGGAAGCTGGGGTGGGGAGGCCTCTTGGCTTCTCCCCGCCCGCCCCACACCCCTCTGATGAACTTCAAATTCCTGGGTCAGACCTTTCATCACCAGCATGAAGTCTCTGGAAAATATACACAAGAAGGATCCAAGTCTAGTTTTTGCAAGGCCTTTGCCCCATCTCTCACCCTCCCCTGACATAGACGAGGAAGAGATCAAGAAGCCAAGAGACAGAACATCGTAAAAAAAAAAAAAAAAAAAAAAAAAAACCTTTGTGTGAAATAAATAAATAAATCCATCCAAGACGTCATCTTTTTTGTTATAAAAACATGTTTTCCTTGCTTTCTGACCCTCTAGCATTTTGGAGTTTGGGGAGTTTACTGAATGCTTAGTGTCCATGAACTCTTGGAAAGTTCATTACCCTGACCCTTCTTGGCTGTTAAATCTTAGCACTGGTTGCTGGAAAGTAATTTAGCTTTGGGAAAAAAAAAAAAAAAATCTGTGTGTTTTTTTTTTTCCCCCCCCAAAACACCCTCATCCCTGAGTTCCCACTTTGGGACTTTGTGCTGGATTTTCTCCGATAGTTTATAGATTCCCAAACACATAGCCAGAGTTTTCCTTTTCCCATGGACTCTGTGGAATTCACCTGAAAACTTGGTGATTATTTATGTTCCAACATACTTACGGTCAAGCCACCCAGGACTTCGTATCCACAGGAAAACTGACAAATCCAATCAACTCTCCCAGTGCAGCTCTGTAAAGTCTTATTCATTTGGATGCCATCAGTTCAGAATTTTTGGATAATTCAGACAGTCTGGATGGAAGTTGCTTTTTGCACAGTTCTACACAAAAAAAAAAAGAGAGAGAGAGTTTCTTAACAAATTGATAATGCAAAGCAGACTGTTGGAGCTGAGAATAAACTGTCTTCAAGTTCTCCAGAATAGCATTCACTGACAGGCAATCAACGATTAATTACAAATTATTTTTATCAAACAATTAAAATGAATTCCAGGCAGCTCACCATACCTTGGGAATAGTATAGGATAGAGAGGGGAAAAGCCGGGGGGGTTCCAATCCATCATGCAAGAGCTCAAATTCCAGCTATAACTCATGAGTTTCAGTTACTGTGCATAAGCTCCTTCCCTTCCCTGCGCCTTAATTCTGACATATGGGAAAGTTTGCACAACGGACATAAGAATTGGAAATCACATAGTGAAAGCAGAGTTTCCAAAACTATGCTCAGAAGGACTCCAAGTCCACAAGATGTTAACACATATTGCATGAAAAAGAGACCGTGGTTGAATAAGTCAGGATAAACTAAGCTAAACAAAATTAAATATGTTTGCTTGCTTTTTTTCATTTGTTTGTGTGCAGACCTTCACAGTGCCTTTAATATTGTACTTTATATTGCAAATTTCCAAAAGGAGGACATACTGAGCATTTTCCCCCAAATTTCTTTCACCAGGAAATTCTTCCTATTGAAATACTTTTTGACCTCTTACAGAACTCTCACTGAAGGAAGCCTGGAAAACAAGGCTCTAGGATCTGTGGTCTGAACTTTGTAGTAGGGGTATTGAGCCCTTATGGAGACATTTATACTTTATCTCCAAATCTTCTTGGGACCAAGGTCAAAATCTGGACGATAGAGTTCATGACCAAAAAAAAAAACCAGATTCTGACATATAAAGCCATAGTCTTACAGACTCCCCACAAACTAGCCTAGAAAAAGTAACTTGAGGGATTTTTTTAAATGTACCTGGAAGTCCTTGTATCTGGATGCTAGGATCTTCAGGGTCACTGACTCAAGGCCTGAAAAGTTTCAGAAGATTAAGGAAGTAGATTGGAGAGAGAAAGCATGAGAGGGAGGCAAGGAATCTAATTCTGGCATGTGATAACGATATTAAGGAGTACTTGTAAAATCATTAAAGCAATGAAAAATAGAAACCATGATAGAATAAAATTCAAGTCTTGTTACCAGTTTTCCTTCCAGGAACAATGGTAAATGCAGTTGTCATTATTCCTCCAAAGAGAAGGACAGCCACAAGGAACTTCGGATGGTATTAAAGGGTGAATCCAAAAGAATGTCAAGATTCATCCCTACCCTAATAAGACTGAAAATGGAATTAGCAAGACAAGAGTTCACAATGAATGTTACAACAATGAATGTTACAACACAGCTCATAACTAAGAAGGAAGTGGAAGTTCCAGATAGTAAGCTGTCGTTCATTTACGTCTTCATTAATTTGTGTTTAGCATGTGACAGGTGCTAGAAGGCTCAATCAAATCCCTTCCTGACATTTTGCCCTTGAGAAAGAGCACATGACCCCTATGGTCATCACAGTGGAGGAAGAAAGGGCTGGAGAGTTGCATGGAGGGTGGTTTTTTGGTTTTTTTTCAGGAAGCTTACGTTTTACCAGGGCAGTATGTCAGAGGCAATGATATTCACCAGCTCTCCCTGTGTTCCTCCACATTTTCCAGCTGCCCTTGACATGAGACTGGGGTCACTTGACTGGGTTCTGCTTGATGGGAATGTGGGAAGAGATAGCCCCACCTTTAAAAACACCCTCCACAGGACTTCCCTGGTGGACCAGTGGCTAAGATTCTGCACTTCCAGTGCAGGGGGCCTGGGTTCAATCCCTGGTCAGGAAACTAGATCCTACAATGCCACAACTAAGAGATTGCACGCCACAACAAAAGATCCCATATGCCACAACTAAGACCCAGTGCAGTCAGATAAATAATTTTTTTATTAAAATAAAATAAAATCACCCTCCATGCAACTCTTTAGCCCTTTCTTCCTCCACTGTGATGACCTTAGGGGTCACGTACTCTTTCACAAGAGCAAAAAAGATGGAGAAGGGCTCCCCAAATACATAGAAGACTGATGTGAGGGAGAAATAAACATTCATTAAGTCAGGCACTGAGCTTTGGGGCTTCATCTCTGTAGTACACAGGAACAAGTGTGGCTGTGTCTGGCCCATGTGAAAGTAAACAGGGAAAAACAGAGAAAAGAAGAGAAAGTTGATATACAGAAACAGAAAACCAAGATGAGAAGCCATGTGACCAAAACAGATGAAAAGAGTCATCTTGGATCTGGAGTTTTGAGGGCCTTGGTCCCAGGCCCTTGTGAGGTCTACCATGTACTCTTGCCCTTGTTTTCTTTACTATCTACCAATGTCCTCCAATACTTTCATGTTCTGGGTATAAGTTACAGTAAACTTTTGCTCCCCATGACCTAAAAAGTCCTTGACTAACTCAACACGTTATAGCTAGAACAGTGAAGGGGTAGAAGAATGGAACAATCTTTTCTCTTAAACCAAACCAGAAAAAGCATATATAGGGCACCACATGGGGCTTCCCAGGTGGCACTAGTGGTAAAGAACCCGCCTGCCAGTGCAGGAGACACAAGAGACATGGGTTTGATCCCTAGGTGGAGAAGATCCCCTGGAGGAGGAAGTGGCAACCCATTCCAGTATTCTTGCTTGGAAAATCACATGGACAGAGGAGCCTGGCAGGCTATGGTCCATGGGGCTGCAAAGAGTCGGACACAACTGAGCGACTGAGCATGCAGGGCACTATATAAGCATGCATCACCTGGCTTTCAAGTTGCACATGTAGGCTCAGAAAAGCAGATCGTAATAGGAGGCACAGAAAAGAACACGGAGAAGATGAATGCTTCTTAATAAAAAGGCTTTCTTCAAAATGGTGTTCAAGTAGGTCATTTTACAATTTCATAAAAAAATAATAATAATAACGTAGTGAAAACTGCCAAGATTATGGAGTTAGGACTCGTCGTATGCTTGTGCTGAAAGAGCTTGAAATAAAAGACAACCCTTAAGTACCGAGCATTATAATTATATGCTACTTTAAAGAACCACAGTCAATCCTCCTGCTGACTAATCTTAACTATCTATCAAGACCTGGAGACGGAGAAGCCATCGTAGCGTTGGAATGATTGTCTCATCCTGGGGTCTGGCTTGTGATTTCCTCTCCCGGGTCCCTCCAGGAACCTGTCTGAGTGACAAGGAGGACTTCATCACAAAATCTCTGCTTTGGATTTCCCTAACCTCGCCTGGGAGGGGAAGGAGGGGAAAAAAAAGGAAAAAGTCTCAGTAAGAGAAACAACTGGAAGATCATGGGGAAAGAAATCCAGTAGATAAGCTTCTTAAATGAAGGATCTATATGTTTCTTATTATTTCTTTGTTCTCCCTCTAGGGTAGGGACTATGTCTGGCTGCCTCACTGTTGTACCCACAGCCTCCAAAGACAGTTTTGGGCAGAGAGTAGAGGCTCCGTGATTATTTGTTGAATGAATGAATGAAACCAATGAGAGTATCCTTTACTTTCTTATTTCTAGATTGATGTCAATTCTGAGATCTAACACTGTCTTAATATAAGAAAAGTATTTCAGATCGTAATCTATAGAATCACTGACCAAATGTGAAATAGCTAGAGAAGCCTCTCATATGAATTGGAAGATTTCAGCAACTATGGCGAAACCCAGAAAGAGAAAAAATATTCCACTGGGGTTATAAAGAGATGCTTCTTTGCTCTTCCAATGGTTATTAAATGAGGAGCTGGTGTGTGCTAGGTTCATGCTAAGACCAGGGGTAATGCAGAAATGATATTTCTTCAGCAGAAAGAACAGACCTATAAAATGGTCTACACTCTAGCCCAGCATTAGCTGATAAAAATCTAAGGGATGCCACATCTGTCATTTTTAATTTTTGAGCACTGACTTTTTTTTTTAAATTTTTTGGCTATTCCATGCAGCTTGCAAAATCTTAGTTTCCCAACCAGGGACTGAATCCAGGTCCTGGCAGTGAAAGCACAGAGTCTAACCACTGGACCACCAGGGAATTCCCTCAAGCAGTCACATTTTTTAAAAGTAACTTGTGAAATTAATTTAATATCATTACATGTATTAATCTACTAAGTATATTATTTAACCCAATACATGCAAAATGTGGTCAGTTTATCATGTGATCAAGATAAACATTATCAACGAGATAGTCTACATTCTTTTTTCATCCTAAGATTTCAAAAAGAGGTATATTTTATACTAACAACCCTTCTTATTTGGATGCCAAATTTTCATCAAAAATTCTGGAAATTTTATGTTTAGGAGTCATAATCATTATAGCTGAAAAGTGCAGATTCACATGCTAAAGTTGTTTCAAACATACTTGAAAACCAATAGCTGAATAGCTGGATCATGCTATTCAGCTGAATAGCTGAATAGCTTCCAATAGCTGAATCATGTCAGTTTTTAAATTTGAAATTAAATTAATCAACATTAAACAGAATTGAAAATTCAGTTCTTTAGATGTATAAGTCACTCTTCAAGTGCTCAACAGTCCCAGTACCTATAAGCTACCATATTGGACAAGTAGGGATATAAAATATTTCCATCACCGCAGAAAGTTCAATTGGAACAGCATTGCTCTTGATGGTCTAAGAAATCTACAAACATTGAAGATAATCATGTATTTTGCCCTTTTTTATACCCCCTAGAACAATGATTAACCCGTAAGACTCCACAGATGATAGTTCAAAGGATGAATGAATGATCAACCTGTCATATTCCAGAGGTTGGAGGGTTCAAGGAATACTTAGCAAAAGCAGGGACATTTATGACCGGGCTTGATGGGTGAATAGAAGTCCACTAGGCAAATAGTGAGGCAAAGACAGAGAAGGAGTCTGGTGCATGGATGCTGAATTATAAAATGATCTATTAGTACTATGTTGTTAAGAGCATGAGTTTTATTCATTT